CATTTCTCCACCCTCAACAATTATTTTTTGTATCATTTTTTCTCTTTTATTTTCTTCTTTCCCCGATTTAATTATTTTAATAAAATATTTTATTGAATTAAATAAATATTTAAATTCGTTTTTAATGTATTCCGGATTTAAATTTTGAATATTAATATTTTCTAAAATTTTTTTCGATTTAATTAACATTTTTTTGGCGTGTTTCCTTCCATAAAAATAAATTGGAATAAATATTTTATTTTTATTTTCTTCATTATTTTGATTTATAACTGTCGTTATTTCAAACATTAAATTAATAATTTCATTAAATAAAGGCTTAAATATTTCCCAACTTTTTTCAATCATTTTATTTTTACTTTTGTTGGCCTTCTTTTCAATTAAATTTATCAAAATTTTAAAAAATCCCATTTCTTTTTGGTTAATTTGTTTGGAATTGTTTCCTTCGAAAATTGAAGTAGTTTGGAAATCAAGTTGATCCAATTTCAATTTTAAATCGGAACTTTTCATTTTAACTTTGTTTAACAATTTTTTAACCTCTTTCTCTGTTAACTCATCAAGTTTCTCCAAAACATGGTCACTCCATATTAGATTAACACAAATCAGCAGCAAAATTAATTTCAATGTTAAAAGTGGCGGTTTTAACATTAGGAATTTTAAATTAATTTTTATAATTTCTAAAATTTTAAATAAAAATTTAAATTCGTATATATGTATATGAATATTAAATTATATAAGGTGAGAGAGAGTGTCTAATTAAAAAGCGTCTTGCTATATGAATACATATTTTCAAAAGGTGGGAGAGAGTGTCTCTGCATTATATTTTATTACAAGATTTCATGCCACATTTAAAAATTTTGAAAGAGAGTGAGTGAGAGTGTATGAGTGAAAGTGAGGGGTAGAGGGTGAGCGGTCGCATTGCATTGCGTCTCATTGATTAAAGCTAGTCAATCTCTCGCCCTTTTGAAAGAAATAATTAAAAATATTTAAGAGTATCGACTTACAAATAAGTTAGCGGATCCGGATCTCCGAAGATCTCTAACTATCCGCCAACTTTACTTACAAATAGCAGGTCTGAGATTTGGAAGACATTTTACGGAAGACGTTTCCCGATAGCTAAAAACTAATTTTTAGTTTCTTCTACCGTCGCTACGCATTCGGTAAAAATATTATATGTACTATAGGTAATTCTAAATTCTACACTGATAAACGATATGAAAATCATGCTAAGTTGATACATAGTATAAAAATATTATTATTGAAAAAAGTTGTAGGTTATTAGAGGCCGGCCTGTGAGGTTCGTATGAGAATCGTAGAGATATCTCAAGAAATATCTATCTCGATAACCTAGATTTTTGTTCGAGATTTCGTCTCAGTCCGGTCTTTAGTTATTATTAATAAATTATGTATAAAACGTAGCTGTAAAATACCAATGTGTTTTTATAAAATATTAGCTTTTAATTTTATATTTAATCCATTAATTTTCGATTTATAATTGTAAAAATGGACATTTATTTTTTCTATTAGGACAAACACTAACAGGTACACTTACTTTTAGTAATAATATTGAGGGAAATGACCGCCACCCTCTCAACAACAATTCTTTTTTTATTTACTTTCACGTATTTACTCACATTTTTTCTTTTAATAAAACAATTAAAAAAGTTTTTTTTATTATTTTTATATTAAGAGGACAAGAATATCTAAATGAAAATTAATTAGAAAATAATTAGGTATTAATAATACAAAGAAATTCACTTTAAAGTAGTTGGATTATTATAAGATAATCGAGGAATGTATTAATTATTCCTTCTTGTAAATTTTCACTCTATAAGGGAATTTAATATTAAATTTGTTATACTAATATTTCGTTATCAATTAGAGGCATCTCGACCCTCCAATTTTTGACTAGCTACACCGTCAAAATAGGATTGGCGGATTCTAGGTATTATCGAATATCTGGATTCGATATCCGATCCAAAATTTCTGGATATGCGGTCTTATTTTGGATTCGGATATCTGGATCCGCCAACCTTACTTCGGAATTAAAAGTATGTTATACATCGGATCGTTATTTTGCTTACATTATAGCTTACACATTCTTTTACATAGTTTTTACTTATGTATCTAGCCTCTGAGTGGGGAGAGCTACTTTATACCCCATATTTATAAAAACCCTGAATTTTACATACACTTTTACAGGCCCTAGAGGTATATGAATCAACATTTGACTGTATTTTAAAATGCAGCTATAACTGTCCAGAGTTATTTGTATAACCTTGCAGTTGTGCTCTTAGCTAGCTAGGTTCAACTCTCAGTACGTGTTAAAGACTTAAGGGTTGGTAAAACCCTTAAAGACTTAGGGGTTGGTTAAAGACCTTTCCTTATTCTATTAAAAATCGAAAAATTTAACAAACTTCCATTTGGTATTATTAATTATTTTATTACTTTAAAAAACAAAATTACTATAAGTAATGCTTATACATATTTAGTATATTTTACTAAAAACGCTATTTTTCATTCACCTTTAAACCCCCCCCTTTGCTTTTATAAATTTTTCGGCGACTTTATGTACATTATTATTTAAAACATAATATTTATTTATAAGCAAACAATTAAAAATCTAAATAAATATTTACTTTTATATTTTTATTAAGTGTGAGAGGGCGTGTAATTATTATATATTTATTTGTTGATTAAATTAATTGTTGTTAGTTGTTTGTTGCTAAATCAGTCATTTCTCGTGGTAAAAAAAGAAAAGGGTTTATTAGCTTCTTTAACAACAGACATTGTTTATTCAGTATATTCCCCAAATAAATATTTTTATAGCTAGAAATAAGCCTCTAGGTTAATAAATATTTGGTAAAATCTCGATTAGAAGTCTGGACCGAGTTGAGCAGACCTAGGAGAAAAATGATAGCAGGGGTCAGCTTCGCTTGGTGAAAATGAATATCATGACCTATTAAGTTCTGGGAATTAATAGGTTATCAAATCTCGATTAGATGTCACTGTCTGGATAAAATATTATCAAGGTCAGCTTTGATTGTAGGAAATTTCCTTAGGAACCGAAATGCCCACACCTACATATTCTGAAATTTACTTTTGATAAGAATTAAATTTTAATAAATTTTTAAATTTTTACAAAGTAATAAAAATTAGAAAATAACTATTTCTAAATTCTCGACACTTTCGATTAAAAAATATTTCAATTAATTTTTTAAAATTGCTTTTAATGGTTCTTCAACAATATTCTGTTTTTGACCATATAACAAAAGCAAAAAGGGATTCTTTTGATACTGAAGGTATTCGTAATTATTAAATTATCTCGTATATCCGATATTTTATGCCAAGGCATTTCAGGGCCTGAAAATAATTATCTCTTTAAATAAATCATTGGGTACTTTTACGTTATCCATCTAATGTTCTTTTTTACTTCCTTTTCTCCTAAAAGTTTCATAATGGTCAGGGATAGCCGTTAATTTGATCCATGAGAAAATCAAGGAATAGAAAAACATTGATGTATAATACATAATATTCTTGTAATACATATAGTACATAATATTCTTGTTTATTAGGATCAACCTCGATTTGCAAAGATTCTTTTCAATCGTATAACAACAAAATAATTTCTTTGGAAAACGAAAAAAATAATAAAGAAAATTTTAATAATGAAATTAACAAAGTTAAATATCCACAAGAAGAATCGGGAAAATATTATGAAAGTTGGCTTAACCATTCACCTGCTTGGTTAAAATTTTTTAATTTTAGGGAATAAATTTCTCTTTTTTAGGGATCATTTTTGTTCTGTCCTCACTTCCCTTTATGCTCTTTTTATTATAGTTTTCGCTATAGTAGTAGAACTTTCTCAAGAATTTACTTCAGATGAATGGCTGGCAGAAACGGTTTTTCTTTCAAAAAAATTTGCAAAATTTCTTTTTAAAGATTTTCTTTTCTTATATGTATGGGATTGGCATATTATTTATTTTTTATTGCTATTTATTTAAAGTCAGTCATCCAACATGGCTTAATAATTTAATATTTAAAAAATGTTTAATATTAAAAGAAAATAATAATAAATTATCTGAAAAAATTAAAAATGATGGTGCTGGTTCTCTTTATTTACGGCTTGGAACTTTATGTAAATAATTTTTTTATGAGTTTTAAAAGACATAGCTTTTGGCCAACATTATGGCCAACATAGTATCTGCAGTTTAGGGGAAGCTTCGGTTTTTGGAGGATTCTTTATTTACCAAATCTAGATTCTTTATTAGTAGGAGAGATTGGACCGATTACGTGTTTATTCTTAGAGACTCCTTTGATCTATCTCCGATTTTTTCCAGATTAATTTAACCTGGCCTTTCATTAAAGCCGATTTAAAATCCGGAATCCACGTGTAAATAATCAAATATTTCCGAACACATTTCAATATATTAACAAATTATTCCTAGGGGATTTTGCTCTTTAGTGATCCTCAATTTTTTTAAATTAAATTTATAAAAATAATTTTTTTTTAATTTAAAGGCTTTGGAAGTAGTGGAATTGTTTTATTCTGTTTAGAAATGTTTATCTGTCATTCAAATAATCAGTGTTATAATTATCGTTTTGTTAATTGGTTATTGGCTGGGTTTTTTACTTTCATTCAAATGCATTTTATTTTTTGCAATTCAAGAGTTCGTTTTAAAGCTAAAATCATAACTAGGGTTGTAGAAACATTATCGTATTTTCAAATATTCAGACCTAAAATTAAACAAAACGGCAACCGTAATGATAATAAAAATTTATATCAAAGACCATAAACTAGAGTTCAAATCGGGCCGGGCCAAGTCTTTCTGATTTTCAGTAGACCGGAAATGGTAAATTAATAAAATCCGGGTTAAATGAATAAACAGAAACGGGGCCCGGCAATCCGAAAAGTTCAAAAACAAAAAATTTAAAAAATCGTAAATGAATTTAATATAAAGTTAGTTGTTGGCGATTCAAAAAACTTGATTAAATTTGGAACGATGCATTTATTGTCAATTAATATTTGGACATGGCTACGTTTTGTAATTGCAAAAAATGCTGATTTGGATAAAAAAGCACCGGAATTACAAATAAAAAATAAATGGCAGAGAATTTTATTAGATAGCAGCAGTAGTGAAGAAGAACAATTATTTTTTAGTGAAAATAAAAATAATTTGAGCTTCATTGGAGTATTTAATTCAAACAATTTAATTTTACCGTTGAGAGTTTCTTCGTTCAATTATTTTGGCGATTTTGCTACTTTACTTACTACGTGTATTGTGGTAAAATTATTTAAATATTTTAAATTTCTTAAAACTGCCCCCTATAATAAATCAACTTAAGTGACTTTTGAAAATTCTAAATATAGTTCCTCTTTCAAAATATCAGCCTAATTTGAAGGGAGTTGTATCCTTAAACGATTTTAGAACTAGCCTAATTTTAGAGATCATATTGAGACGTGATCTCAGCCATAAACCTCGGGTTTTAAGGCCGAAATGATCTGTTGTCAAAGAGATTTTTCGATTGGCGAGTCTAGATTTTTGAGATAGAGACCTAGAATCAGTGAAGTTATTGTCTCTAGTTTGTATTCATATGTTTTAGGAATATTCTGTAATTGGTGCTGCAATTATGATAACAATTTGGAAATCAATTGATAATAATTTAATTAATAAACCCAATAGTTATAATAATGAATATTTTAATTTGTTAACAACAAAATCTCAATCTACAAAAACAACAAAGAATATTAGGATTGATTGCAGGTAGTTCCATCTTCAAATTAGCTTTTTACAGAGGCCCTGGTCAGGGATTTTATGCTCCGGTAACCCTAAAACTGTTATTCTCGATTAAGTTCGGGCTCCATCAATAAGTAAAATTATAACAAAATCCACATGACTATTTTGAACTATCTTGACTAATTACGGTCAAATCCCGATACAACGTCTACCACAAAGCTGATTAGCAGACGTAGATTCAACTGTATACTAAAATTCTTAAACGAATATTTTATTAAGTGCATCAAGCGGAGGTCTCTTTGCTGGACTCTTATTTTTAATTGCTTCTTTTGTATCAATTGGGATACATTCGTTTTTCTCACAACATGAAGACCCAGATGGAGCTTTACTTGTCTTTAGACTTTCTGATATGGCTTTATTTTGCTGTACACTGATTGGTTGTTCTATTGGATTATTCAGGAAATTTACATAATTTTTGTTGAGATTTGTTAAGAAAATATTAATAATTGTTTATTTAAACTACTGCATTTTTTGTCTCATCGAACCCTCAGAAAAAAACCTTCGAATTTTAATCATGTATATCAATGATAGATCGGGTTGGAAAACTTTTCGTGTTGGGTTGGATTTTCAAAATTTTCTTTGAAGTCGAGTTGAAAATGTCTGTGTTTCAAGTAACACATCTATCCCTGGTGTATTATATATTTATGAATCTATGTCACTATGTATTTTGGTATTGATAACACATACTTTCTAATAATTATCCAGGGTACTTATTATAATGTCAATACATAACTAACTAGTCCAAATAACTATTAAATGCCAAATTTTAGGATGAATTCTCTTCAATATCAACCTCATGAAGAACAACAAAGGTCTACTAATACTGAATTTTTGGATGAAATTTTATTAGCAATTGGCCTTGTTGGGGAACTTATACACAGTTCAAGTTAAGAAAAATTTGTTGTTTTATAATATTAATTATTTATCAGCCGGTGTTATGTGTTGGATATCTACTCAATCGGATAAAGCACCCATTAAAATGGAGGTGTTTTTACTTTTTTAAACTTTACATAGTCCAAATCAGAGGTCGGTCGGAAATGACGAAGGTGCCGGAAATCGGAACTGTTTGAAATCCGAAATGGCTCAAAAGCCGGAAATCGGAATTCCGACCGACTCTGGTCCAAATATGATTTATAATTTTATATTTTCTTCACAGTTTTACATGTTATTTGTATTTATAACACGAATTATGCAAGTTGTAGTACAGTCAGTCTTTATACTTTTGTCAAGGAGGTATTGAGGGAAACTTTCTCTTAAAAATAAATTTTTTAATTACAAAGACTGCGCGCGTTGTCTCCCAAAACTCGTAGAGAAAAACCTGGAAAACAATTTGTTACATTTTTGCTTATTTCTAATGTTTCGTTATTCTTTTTCCATACACTTGAAGGAATGAAATCTGGTAATATTTGAATAAATTTATTTATTTTTAAAATGATTTTATAAAAGTTTTTGGCGACACAATTGCTACGAGACGGGCTAGACCTTATGCAAAGCTTATTGGTATGGTTTAAAGAGGATTACTTCTTTTAATTTTTGGGATGTTTGTATGGTTTTAATAAATTAATAGCTATTTTATAAATCAGAAATTTGTGTTAGGAAACTAAGTGAAAAAACGATATACTTGGAGGGGCCTTAATTCTACTCTATCTAATGCATAAACATTTACCCAAAGTTTTCCTAATAAATCTCAACTTTACTCTATATCAGTATAGCCCGTACCAAATAATTCAGCTTTTTCCAATGTTCCGGTCCCAAGCCCTTGTCATGCCTGCTGTTTGTTTCTATATTCAAAATTTTTCATAATTTTTGTATTTTATTTAAGTTGCCGTAGCACCATTAGTTGTTTTCTTTCGCTTCCATTCAAGGTTTAAAAAATTACATAAAATTTTTTCAAACTTATTTTTTCAGTGTTTGCCTGGCCGAAATATGGAAATATAGCTATAATAACAAAAATACTAATTTTGAAGACAAAAATAAATTTAAATATTTTTCTGAATTAAAAAAGAATTCAAATTCAGATATTTCTGATGTCAATATTTCTATTAAATCGTCATCTCCCTCAACTTCCTCTTCTTTTTCTTCTTCTGTTTTATCTTCAATATTAAATTAAAAAATTAATTCAATAAAATTTTTTAATAAAATTTGCTTGCTTTTAATATTTTTTTTTGCCTTTTTGATTATTTTATAAGTGGAAATATTCTTTTACTAAATAAGCATTTGAAGTGCTACATATATTAAAAATAAAATATTCAAAAAATTATTTTTATTGCTAAAGCTAAAAGTGAATTTCCTGACGTTTACTTCTAGACATTTCTTGTGATTTCTTGTGTTCAATTTTAAAAGGTTTTATTTCAGGACTGTACTAGAGTTCCGAACCTTTTGACTTGTATGCAGTGATGCGGGGGTTCCGGTTCCGGAATAGGTGCGGTTCCGGTTCCGGAAGTGGATTGTTTGTCCTACGACCCCAGAAATTCTCAAAATTTTCGCCTGCGGCGCTGAATAAGTGAATTTTTTTGGCCTACGACCTGCGAGTTTTCGTTTCTCTCAGGAAATTCCTGCATATTTGAACTCAGTTTGGCGAGACGAATCGAATGATATATACTTGGAGTTTCGATCTAGGTGGCCCTTACTAAAGTACAACCAAAATTTTTTGGAACCGGAACCGGGTTGGAACCGGTTCTAGAACTGGAATCGGCAAAATTATAAAAGCCAGACGGAACCTGAATCGAGTAAAATTAAAAAAGCGGTTCCGGAATCGGAACCTGCGACATTTTGGAATTTCCGCATCACTGCTTGTATGTATGTTCATTCTCCTATTGAGAGATAAAAATTTGTCTTTGGTTAATATTATTAAATCGAATGTTAGAAATAGCCCATCTAAATCTCTAGATAAAAGACTATTAAGTTAGCTGATTCCATTCCGAACGATTTTTTGTCCTCTTCTGCTGACTCCACTGTTTTTAGTCTATATTTGCTTCCGTCTTAGAAGTTTTGTCGTTATCAAAACTCCACATTTTGTTACTTTAAGCAATAAAAATTTAAGGATTAAAAAAATTTCTTCCATACGATAATAATTTTTAAATTTTCATTCTAATAAAGCCTTTTATTATTTACAAATTTAATTAAAAAAGAAACATAATAAAAAAATTATCGAGTATTCTAAACACATTTATAATTTTATTTACTTAAATATTAATTTAGGAACGTTTGTCTTTTATTCTTTTGTTAATCCGATTTATTAATTTAGCTTTTTTTCTTTTTATTTTTCTATTCTAAATTTTTCATTTTATTTATTTTATATTTATTTAAGTTGCTTTTTTAAATTTACATTAGGTTGTCTGATTGATTTTTATAATGAAAAAATTTTTTTTAAATTTTAGAAAATTTTTAAAAATTTTTAGAGATCGGTATATAATATTCGCAAAATATAAGCTTGACTATCGAGATCATATAAACTACCTTTATTGTAATTTTAATTAATTATATTAGGGAATAAAAAAACTCGAAATTTTTAAAGTCCGCAATTTTTATTTAATTGCGGATTTTTATCTTTAAGGCGGCAAAATTTTGAGGATTAAAATGGCCTTAAGAAAAAAATCCGCCAAGGTGGGGCCCCCTCTAAATAACCCTAGATAGCTTCCCATAGCTCATAAATTAAGTATTTTTGAATAATTTCGAAGAAAATCTATTCGAAATAATAAAAATAAATATTTTATAACCCCGAAACTAACCCGAAATAAATCTCCATAGGGGGTAAACTAAGTATTTTTGGATAATTTCGAATAGAATCCACACGTATTAATAAAATAATAGATTTCTACCCCTCTAAATAACCCTAGATAGCTTCCCATAGCTCATAAACTAAGTATATATTTTTAAATTATTTATAGCATTTTAAATTTTAAATAAAAATTTCAAAATTTATTTTAAATACATAATTCAAAAAACATAAAAAATAATAAATGGGAGCAACACAAAGCTCGGGAACTAAACTTTCTTTAGCTGATCGTCGTTATAAAGTTAATAGTCCAAGAGGTTATAAAATAATTTCAGTAAAAATTGTTTTTGTTATTTTTAGCAGATTCGTTATTAGTTCAGCAACGTCATAGTGGTCGCAAATTGGGTGGAGTGGCATTGGAGGTTAAGTAGAATTATTTTCTTATATGAGAATAGCCCATTATAAATCTTTTTCTTTATTCATAATCTCACTAATTGAGATTGAGTTGGGTAGGGGACAAGGTCTGTGATTTCCTCGACCTAGGATCTACCTGATTCAAATCCTTGCCCAGATTTTTTTAAATCTTATTCTCAAACACAAATATTTTTTCAAGACTATTAGGTGTGAATCAGAATAGCTGAGAGGAATATTAAGCCTCTAAGCAAGCCGAATATTTACAAGAGTTTTATTATAGTCAGTGTCCCGGATACAAACTATTCCCCATCTTAATCTATTAAAAATTTTAAGCCTCGAGATAACCCACAATGCAGTTCTACAACAAAAGAATCGTTTCAATTAGATGACGATTCACAACAGGCTATAATTTTTGATATGGAAACTTTGGAAGCGGGAGATAAAAATCGACGAAGAAAATCTGGCTCTAATGGAAGCACTAATTCAAACGATACATTAAATAGGCAAAACCAAAATTTACAAATGGCTAGAATCGAGAATTCAGCCTCAGTCTTAACTATTTTATTAACTCGTACTCAACGTGTTCTTATTGAAAACAGCTGGAAAAGGGCTAAAAAAGTGCTTAAAATAATAATATTTAATTATTTTCGAATTTGTCTAAGGGAGCCGCTGATGGTGGTGTGGGTTCACGAGTTTTTCACACAGTTTTGACAGCACAACCAGATATTAAATTGCTTTTTGGGCTGGAAAAAGTACCACAAGGTATTACGATACATCCACTTTAGAGACTTTTTTTCAAAGGTCGCCTTAAATACGAAGGACAATTTCGAAGGCATGCAAGTGTTCTTACTCGTGCATTAGAATATATCGTCAAAAACGTGCAATATACAGACAAATTAGGCATTCATTTCCAGGCGTTAGGTAAAAAACATTGTCAAATGAATGGCGGAAGAGCTTTTCCTACACATTATTGGGATACATTTCTTGAGTAATTTTTATATTTATTTAGGTATATACACTTAGGGATGGGTATATTTATGATTCTTTCGAATATTGCATACAAACAAAGTTAATTTCTGAAGATACCATTTTTAATTGAGGAAAAATATTTTTATTGCGGACCATAAGAGATAAAAATGCATTTAATAAATAATAATATTAAAGGCTTAGGAAAATTTTCAATCATTGAAGCCCTAAATATTTTTTCTAAATTACAATTAAGTAACCATTAGGAGGATAACCAACACGTAAAATATAAGTAAATTATTAAGGTGTATTATACAAAGTCTTCTGGAATGTGATGGCACTAGTGGGGGAAGGAAGCATCGATGTAGAGAGACTGCTATGGCTTGGAGAAATTTGGTTTGGGGATCTAAATACTAAAATTCCAGGAAGATATTTTCCAGATTTCCTTCATAGTCCAACAAATGAGAAGAGGTTTTGAAGATGAGCGTTTGTTGCGCAAACGCTTCTCTGCTTCCTTAATGGGCATTCGTGGTATTAAGGGTAATTGTATTAAATCTAGTGGGAATTCAAGCGAGCGAAGTCTAAAATCGTCAGGCAAGATTGAAAATTTTTTCAGATAATATTCCTCTTTTATAGGACGTCCTTTAGTCTCTAAAATAAATCAAAATGTTTTACATCAATCTTTTGGTTCCCTTGATGATTATTCCTTTCCTTTCACCTCAAATAATTTTAACAATAATACAGGTGAGATTACTTTTGGACTTATCTTTTATAAAAATTCTCAATTTATTTTCTCTAAGATTTATCTTCTTCAAATAATGTCATCCCTGTTTATAAGGTTAATGGGCGAGTACGTGCATGTTCCTCTATTTCGCCTTTGGTTGCAGAAACCTTTACTAAAGATGAAAGTAACAATAAATTTTTTAGATTTTATGCAATCGGAAATTTTTTTATGATTGGGTTATATATGGCGTTTCCGGAAATCAGTAAACTAAAAGCCGGATATCCGTTATCTTCTGTTTCATATATGAGCCATTGCATCTTGAGTACCGTATTCCCTCTATTAGAATGCCATGGCATTCTATTTTTCAATCATCTTCCAAGGTGGCATTTTATTAGTGGGTGGCATTCAAATAGAGGGTGGCATTCTATTAGAGGAAATACGATATTTTGACTTGATTTTTTTTTTTGCTTAGCGTTTCTGAACTTGTCTTGTGCTCGCATCCTTGTTCGGATATCGTATATGTAGGCTTTTCAGGGACGAGCATATTTACGGACCTATATTTCCAATTGTTTATAAAAGACCAAATGAACCTTAAAAAATAATTTATATATTTCGCAATCTTTTAAAATTTCCGGTAATTCACACAAATATAATTTTGATCGACTACTTCCTTCTCACCAACTCAGAAAGAGTGGAGACATCTCTACTCTGAATAATAATAAAATTCAAAATCCATCAGCATCATCTGCCCGAAGTGCTTCTTGGTGTGCTGAAGTAAGTGCCGAGCAAATGCAAAAAATGAAAATTAGCGGAGGAAATAGTTCTCAAGAGGAGGAAGGATTGACAATATTAAATAATAATTCAAGAGTTTCTTGGAGTGTTTCAAGCATTGATGGCGTCACTGAAATATTTTATACACCAAAAACTATTCGGAATAATTCTCCAAAATTTGAAGGAGACGAAATTGGTAAAGAAATTTTTTAAATTATTTTAAGAGTAGGATTTATTTGGGTAACTTCAGGTTACTTTGGCTGTGGTATCTTGGGCGGCGGTACCTTGACACTTTCATAATTTATAAAAACATTGACCCTAATTTAAAATGAATATCAAGTGAAAATAAGGAAACTTGTCGCGATTTCAAATTTTCTTCGGAGTGGATATAAGTCTAATTATATCCACTATTTATTATATAAGTCTAATTATATCTAATTATATTAAGTCTAATTATATCCACCGAGTTCTGATGACTAATTATTTTAACAATTCGACCCATTTGCTAAAAATATTTATTTTAGATCAACAAACTATTCCCGGGCCAGCATTAACAGCGATTAAATTACTTTTGGATTCTACTGCAACGGCTGGAGATGAACATGTAATTGTAGATAAAGGTAAATTAAGAGGGTATGGAACAGTGCATTACGAAATTTCTTAAATTTCGAATTTTCGTAGATTAGCTATTAAATTTTAGCGGATATTTAAGAAAAAATATAGAAAACTAGCCAAAAAGTATGACTAATTATTTTTTAGAAATTTGAATTTTAGGGAAAAATTTTTGAAGGGACATTATTCTAGAGGAATACGGTATATGGAGAGATGTCTATTTTTATTCAGAAAATCCATGTCTTTTTAAAAAATTAAAATGATTTCTATAGATACAATTCCAACATCTACCCAATTATTATATGCTCGCCATTCATTTTCTAATTTTGTGACTGATGAGAAGACTAAAATAGGTGAAGAACAAAGAAATGCAGCTTTTGATGTTTCTCAAAAACTTTTGGGTGTAGCACAAACAGATGCTTCTTCTACAAATGACAAATCATCCCCTTCACAAATAAGGCGCCTCTCGGCACTTTAAAATAATTTTAATTAAACTATTCAGAATAATATAAACGTTTTTGAATAAATGCTTTTTGTTTGTTTTTAATTTAACTAGGCCGGTTTGGTAAAAATGAGGGCTGTAATATACCGGTAGTATTATATACCTCTCTTTTTTTTGAGATGCCTGTGTACCTACTGCCCATATCACTCACTGTCCAAATTACTCACTGTCAATTCACTGCCCAATTCTCTACAGCCTAAACCACATGGCACTAATTAAACATCTAAAAATAAATATCTTTGTGATCTTAAGACAGTTGATCTTATGGGCAAGAGGGTTGTGCGGCCATAACTCTTTATTGATTCTGACACAGGGAGAATGCACAGCGAGGAAACATTTATATGCCATATAGTGCCTGAACTATATAAACAAGTCATTCCATAAATTCATTTGGTCCAAAACTTATAAACTCATTAGCCCCTAAATCTTCAAATTAACATTTTTTAATGGAACAACAAAATAATTTAATAAAACAAAGAAAATTTCTGCCAGTCGAACTCCTTGTTGAAATATTTAACACAGCTAGTAATATTTCTTTAAATGATTTGAAATTGAGGTAATAAATGTGCAAATATTTTAAAATAATGAGTAAAAATCAGAATTGAACTTGAATTTTTTAAAAATTATTTTACCTTTAAAACTCAATATGGTAATTCCAAGGCTGCCCCTTTTTTACTGTTCGCCTGACCATTTTGAGCTTTTTTGCTTGACATGTAATTTACAATATTTCATTCGAAAGAGCTCTTCGAGTCGAGTAGAATGATACTATGATCGGGTCGATTTGGAGATTCTGAGCAGAATTATGAAGCTAAATCCTTGATGGACATGCTTTTTGTGATGTTCAAAGGGATTAAAACAAATGGTCATAACTATGTTTATTTAAGTCGGATTTTGATGAATTTAGTACCGTTCGACTCAGCTTGAAGAGCTCTTTTGAACGATATATATTTTGCCATAAAAAGTTCAAAAAATCGAAAAAATAGAAAGGAAAAAAGGGGGGAACCAGCCTTGGAATTACCCTCAACATTACAAGACAAATTCTAATATTAATTTTTATAAAGAATAAAAGTATCTCACATTATTTTTAATTAGTCCTACAATTGTCTATAAAATAAAAGATGAAACAATGGAAAATAATCAACTTAGAAAATACTGGCATAAATTTACAAAAAATATTTTATCTTGCACTAAGATGGTCTATCCATTTATAGGAGAAAAATGAAAAAAAGGAAGGTAAGAAAATTAAAGAAAAATTACTAAAAATAATTTGTTCTGAATAAAATTTAAAATGAATTTTACAAATAAAAATAAGTTGAAGTTTATTTTGAGAATATCATGTCAATTTCAATAATTTTATGCACACTTGCCTCATATTTTTTATACTTTTTATTAGCCTTTATGAGTCCACCCCAGTCTCTTAATCCCCCTTAATTTCAACAAATCCTCCTCAATCCGCCCAAATCCGTCTTAATATGCACAAATCATTATTTATCCGCGCATAATTTGTATCTGACCTTTTGGTTAATTAGACCTCCTGGGTCTTGACATTCTGGGTCATTTGATTTACAAGGTCATGACCTTTTGGATTTTGAATTTATGTGTTGATCCCGTCTTTATTTTTCAGGTTTAAAAAACCAACTTATAAATTTTGAATTTTTCGGGAATCGAAAAAAATTCTAAAAACATTTAAAGAGATCTTTAATTGTTTGAGCTGGTTGGATCATCTCCTTATAATGTTCATTTACTCTCCTTTCAAGTTCAAGTCTTCATATAAACAATACATCAACTTTAATTCGTTCAAAAAATATTTTAAATTCTTAAAAATTTCAAATTATATTCCATTTAATTTATGTGTCGAATTATTGTAAAACTTTCAGTTTCTCGTTTTACCCATCTTTACTCAATAGAACTTGACCTAGGAATTTAACAACTAGCGTCAACAAAATTATTAATAAGAATAAAGGCGAGGGATTAGAACGAATCTTAGCCGCAGGTAATTATGTGGAAATTATTAAAATTTGTTGATATCAAAGATTAATCTAGCCTGGAGAAAATACTTTAGACTAGAAAATATAGTAAAATCAAGTGAGAGAATTTTTGGATTTTTTAAACATCATTTAATCTAAATATAATATATTTTTAAATTTATTTAGGGACAAAACGCAAAATGGCCACGCCGAAAAAATCTCCAGCTTCAGTTCCATCAAGTAAATTTCTGTTTAAATTTACAATACAACCAATCTAGGATTAACTAAAATTTTAATTGAAATTTACATTTTAACTATTTGAATTTAAATAAATTTATATATTTTTCAGAGAAGGCCTTCCAAGACTTATCTTCACCTTCCAAGACTTATTGCTTTGACTGTGAACATGATTTTAAATATCCTTCAAAATATAATCGCCATATGGCGTCGGGCAAACATGACAAATCTAAAAAATGGCGTTCTCCGACATTTAGTCCAAATATTCGTGGTGATCTTGGTGACTCTTCTAATGCTGAAGGCGATGGGTCTGATGAACCTACTACTTCTTCAAACAAATGAGTGATAGATCTGACAATAAATTCACCCTTTGTGGTCTTAATTTAGTTATTTTTGACACACTTCTTTCTAATTTATTTATATAGGTTATCTTTAATATTCTCATGTTTGTTGTATAAACCCAGACAAATTCCAGGCTTTTTTTATACAAATGAGTCGTACTTTCTTTATTAACTTATTTTGTTGCTCCATTCCATATAAATTTATATTAACTATATTTTTCACTTAATTAGTGAATCCATGATAAATAAATTTGGAAAAATTTAAACAATAATTTTTAGTACGATTTTTTAAAAAATTTTAAAATCGAAAAGAAATTTTCTTTAATTCAATTTATACAAGTGATTCTATTTATAATTCTACATAGGTATTTATTTATTGCAATTCTTTTGGATTTTTATTTGCTTTCTTCGACAACTTTCTTTGTTTTAGACCACAAGCATTACATAGATAGTCTTCATGTTTTGAATCACGACGCCAACGTGATGTATGTGTCACTCCGCATTTAGAACAACGCTCCTTTGTAAATTTAATAATTATTACGTGAAGTAGTAATTCTATTAACAGACTTTTTAAAGCCAAGTGACTGTTAGACATGTATTAATATTTTTTTTTAATAAAAGCGGAATACTTAATAGTCAAAATTTAGTTTCTCGATGAAGAATGAAAATTTTATAACTTCTTTCCTTTTGTATTTTCTTTTAACCTATCCATTTTGGGCTAATCTGTACGGGCTCTTCTTAAAGAAATGGTGTTCTTGCTATTTTATAATCAAATAATTTCTAATTAAGTCAGAGTTTATGCGATTTCAGTAAAAATTCTGTATGATGAATAAATTCCATATTCAGCCACATATTATGGGCTACCCTAATCAATGTATACCTGTATTCAAAATAATCTTCATAATAATATACCTTTTTATTAAAAATAAATTTTGGTCTAAACTTTCCTTTATTTAAATATTTATAATCATAACACTTCTTGCATAAAGGATATGCATTTAGGAAGATATACCATTGTTTGGTTTGTTTAACTCCACAATTGAAGCAATGCCGTTTGTTCTCTTGAGCATTTCCATCTATAATATTTATGAATTAAAGTTCATTTTCGGATAATAGCGAATATCTGCGGATAGTGATGAATTCAAAAAATATTATTAAAAAATCGAGTGGATAAAGATGGTCAGGTACGATTGAATGATTGGATACATTGAATCAATATTTAAATTATTCACTTATTTTATTGCCAATAAAAATAATTCTGCTTTTTAATTCTTTCGGATATTCAACTTTTTGTTTTTCTAACAATTCAATTTTATATCCAATTAAATTAATTTCCGTCCAATAACTTGATAAAATTTTGTTTTTGCAATTTTCTATATTTTCTTGTAATAATTCTTTTTTATTTATTTTTATATTTTCTAAAACCTCATTTAATATAGAAGTTTCATAATAATTACAACATATTTCAATAAAATTATTATATCGGAGTACCTTAAATTTATATATTAATGAATTTGCATGAATATGATTTTGGCTATACATGTTAAAATGCCTAGGATTAGGGTCGGGGTTTTCGAGTCGGGCCGATGTTCGAGTCATTTTTTCGAACCTCATTTTTATCGGGCCGGCCCGACCGAGTCTTTTTCGGGCCAAAAATCGAAGCCAGACTCGATCTTTCGAACCGGGCCGGATCGGGCACCCAACCCTACTTAGGATGTATATACATATGTAGCAATTTAAATGTGAGATTACTTTAAACAAGATTTCTTGATTATTCGAATAAAAAATGATAAAATACCCGTTTATCAATTTCATGCAAAAAACTTTCAATAATTTTATTATTGGCAATTTGAATCGCAATTTTCGATTTTAATATAAAGGATGGAAATTTTTCTGATCTATAGCTTAATTTAACATTAAAGATATTTCTTCCAAAGTTTAAATCAGCCAAACAAAAATATCCTTCTATATTTTTATTACGGTTATTCTTTTTTTCAATTATTTTCAATACAAAACGCTCCTTTAGTTCAACATTTTTTAAATAAATAAATTCTCTTTTTCCTTCCCAATCATTTTTGATTTTCACATCAAAATTAACTCTTATTCCATTACTTTGAGTATTGAATAGAACAACTAAATATATTAAAAGAATAAATTTAATCATCTGAAATTTTAATATTATAAAAATATTTATAAAAAATGGGATTCATAAACGGTGTACGGAATTTTGGTCACTAGAATTCTGGTCACCAAGGATTTTCGGAACTTTGGTCACCAACTTTTTTGGAATTTTGGTCACTAGCGGAATTCTGGTCACCAAGTCAAAAAACGGAATATTGGTCACTGAAATTTTGGTCACCAAGAGGAATTTTGGTCACCAAACGTAAAAAAGAATTTTATCTAAAACTGATATCAAAGTGATAAAAAATGATTTTTCAACCTTCAGTTGATCAGTTTCAATGTTTATCACTCTTCCGGCTGATAACTCTCTCGGTTGATCACTTTCAATCACTCTCCCGGAAGATTGATTAATCGTGAAAGTGATCAACATTGAAAATAATCATCAGGTAGTTGAAAAATAATTTTTTAACACTTTGATATCAGTTCTAGATAAGATTTGTTTTTCCCGTTTGGTGACCAAAATTCCTCTTGGTGACCAAAATGTCAGTGCCCAATATTCCGTTTATTGACTTGGTGACCAAAATTCCGCTAGTGACCAAAATTCCAAAAAAGTTGGTGACCAAAGTTCCGAAAATCCTTGGTGACCAGAATTCCAGTGACCAAAATTCCGGCACCCTCATAAACATACAGATAAAAGTTTAAATACACACAATCTCTATCAAAAATTTTTAAATATTTTAATAATTTATTTTTTAATGTTTAGCCGACTCAAAATACAAGTACAAAATAATAATAATTTATAGTTAAGCAAATACTGTGAAAAAACACTTGATTAACTTATTGCCCTTTTACATCGACTGTCGAGTGACTTAATTTAGGCACGTGAAATGGCAAGCATATGATTGCTATCGAATTTCATTTCGAAATCTATTAACATGTCGGAATTGCCTAACAAGCAAAATTAAAGAATAATTTGAATACTTTTAAGGAATAATTTTAGAACATTAGACTAATTATTTGAGTTAAATTGTAGTTAAAAAATATTTATTTATTTATTTATTTATTTATGAGCAACCACAAGGTATAAAAATACACTAATAGTGGTGAAAAAAAGACAAATATATGTAAAAAAGACAAATATATGTAAAAGACAAATATATGTAAAAAGAAAAAAATTTGTAGAAAAATAAGTTAATTTAATAGAATTATGTATTTGGATGTTTGGTGAAATAGTTGTTTTGTTGTATATTTTGTTAAAAATTTGTTTTATTTCACCAAACATTTAATAAGTTAAAACTTAAGGAAAAATGTTTCCGTTATCTGATACCCATTTTTTAATGTATTTCCTGAATGGCTTTTTATGCATTATACCCATAATTTCATTAGGTAGTTTATTCCAATTTGTTACATTTCTTATAAAAAAATTATTTCTGGATTTCGAATTATATCTTTGGCTTTGAAGGAGTAGGGGTTTTCTTTTGGCTTTTTTTGCAAATGCGAAGAAGTTTTCAGGTTTTAAGTGTGTATTTTGATAAAGGATTTTTTGAATCATACAAAGATCATTAATTTGTCTTCGTATGTCTAATTTCTCTATGTTACATATTTTTAATCTTTCTTCATATTTTATTTTTATAAATCCAGATTTTTTAAATGCAATTTTTGTAAAATATTTTTGAATTTTTTCAAGCCTTTCGCAGTTTGCTTTTTTCTTAGGATTCCATACCTCGCTTGCATATTCTAGTTGGGGTCGAATATATGTTTTGTAGATATTAATATATTGTTCTAGTTTTCTAGTTTTTATAACTTTAAAAAGTCTATATATACTAAAGTAAGCTCTTTTGATAATTACATTAATATGATCGGAGAATGAGAGTTTGGAATCTATTAGAATACCCAAATCTCTAACTGTTTGTAGTTTAGGAATTAAGTTGCCAGATATATGGTATTTTTCTTGTGTGTTATTTTTTCCAATGTAGAGTACAGAGCATTTATTATCTGCGATTTCTAAACCGTTAATTTTAGCCCATTTACTAAGTAATATTAATGATTCTTTTAGTATTTCCCGTCTATTGTCATTTTGATGATATGTATATAATTTTACATCGTCTGCATATATTTTAATTTTTACATCATGAGGAAGATAGTTTGGAAGGTCATTTATGAAGATAAGAAATAATAAAGGACCTAATACACTTCCTTGTGGTACGCCTGATTTTGTTTGTACGCTTTCAGAGAATTCTTTTTCTATTTTAACTTTAAAACTTCTTTTAGTTAAAAAGTTTTCTATGAAATCATATAATTTTCCGTTAATTCCACAAGCTTTTATTTTGAGTAATAAGAGCTCAATAGGAACAGAGTCAAATGCTTTAGCAAAATCAATGTAAATAATATCGATATTTTCTCTTTTTTCCAATGACTTATAAAAATCATTTAACATTGATAAAAGATTTGTGGTAGTTGATCTATATTGTAAGAACCCAAATTGTTCATCAGAGAAGAATTTAGTTTTATTTAGAAAATTTATGATTTGTGTTGAGATAATTCTTTCAAATGCGCGGCAAAGTGTACAAGTAACAGAAATAGGTCTATAATTAGTAGGGTCATTTATTTCACCCTTTTTAAATATGGGAATGATGTAGGATTGTCTCCAGATTTCTGGGATTGTCCTATTATCTAATATGATTCTGAATATTTCTGTTATGGTCGGAGAGAGTATTTTTGAACATGATTTCAATAATATATAAGGAATATCATCAGGTGAATTAGAGTTTTTATTTGGAAGATTCTCTAGGATATTTTCAACAGCGAGAATATCAAATTCAATATCCTCTAAACGTTCTCTTGTAGTTTGTCTAGGAGTAAAATTTTTGTCAAATTCCTTGGGTTGAAAATATTTACTAAATGTGTTACTTATTAAATTTGGTATGTTGTCATTTGGATTGAATTTTTGCCGAATAAATTTATGAATGGCATTACCTCCTTTATTTATCGTTTTACTTATCTTTTCTTCGTTATATGCTTCTATATTCTTTTTGAGGTCTTTAGAGATAAATCTATATTGAAGTTTTAAGTTATTATTTTTAGGATTTTTTCTTAAGTTTTGATGTATAGCAAGTTTTCTTGCCTGTAAAATTTTAATCTTTTTAGGATAACTGTTCCTAATAATTAAATTTAATGTCTGTAAAGGGATAGCGTTATTAAGGGCAGATACTAAATTTTGTGTTATATTATTATACTTATCATTAGTGGTGAATTTAGTCTCGAGTATGTATTTCCAATTTATAGATGATATGTATTTTCTAAGATTTTCTGTGTTTTTATGGCTAAAACTTCTAATATATTTTTTACTTTTGAATTCTCTATGGAATTTAACGTTTAAAATGAATGAGATCATATTATGATCAGATGTTGAGAAAGGAGCAGAAATATTATAGTTTTCAATAAGATTTTTGGGGTTTGTGAAAAGTAAATCAAGTATTGAAGTATCTCTTGTATTTTCTTTTATGTTGGTAAATTTCATTTTGAGAACAGAAATCAATAAGTAACTGTCCTAGATCATTGTTTGAATCCATAGTATCCCAGTTAATTTTAGGAATGTTAAAATCCCCATAGATTAAAGCATTAGGATTTAATTTAGATGAAATATATCTCATTAGTTTCTTTGTTTCATCATATGAACATTTTGGTGGTCGGTATACACAAAAAATTTCAATACCCCTTTGTATAAGTAATTTTAAATGTATAATTTCGCATTTGAATTTTGTACCTGTAAATTTTAATTTGTATGGGATTTCGGATGGAATGAGTATTAGGCAGCCGCCCCCAAGACCTTGTTTTCTGTTAGCAAATATTGGGTTAAACTGTCCTCTAAGTGAAAATTCTGAATGTATAATGTTATTTTCTTTAAGCCAAGTTTCGTTTATTAGTATTATTTTATTTTTGTTATTTTCCAAGAGTTCCTGGAGTTCGAAGGTTTTATTATTTATAGATCGTGCATTAAAAGCCAAACAGGATAATATATTAGAATTTAAAGTTGTTTTTAAATTACCAGTATGGTTACTCGAATTACCCTATGCGGAAACAGTTTTTACCTTAAGAGGTTTTGGATGTGACATTTTACGAATTTCTAAATCAACAACAAAGTATTTAAATAAATTTTCACGAACATTAAGGTCATAAGCTTGTTTACGAAGGTTATAAAGAATATTTAATTCATATTGGGTCATATCGCGTCTGGCTGTTATGTTTTTAGGAACATTAGGAAGAGATTTGACACATTTACGAAATGAGTATAAAAAAGTATCACGAGATTTGGTATCAGTAAAGGGTATTTTTAGAATATGTGGTTTACTGCTTTTGTTATTTTTATGTGGTGGATGTCTATGGATACCAGAAAAATCAACTTTATCTTCAAGTCCACATTCTTTTACTAAACTTCTAACCATACCTTCATCATTTACTTCAGGCAACTTTTCAATGACAGCACGTAAAGATTTCGATTTGGTTCCGTGACTTTTGCGCCGTGAACATTTGCGCCGCGACTTTTGCGCCGCGAATTTTGCGCCGCGACTTTTGCGCCGAGCGACTTTTGCGCCGGGGGACTTTTGCGCCGCGACTTTTGCGCCGGGGGACTTTTGCGCCGCGACTTTTGCGCCGGGGGACTTTTGCGCCGCCACTATCATTACTAAATATGAGAAACTACAGCCGGGCCTCACTATAGAAGATGTAGGATGGTAGGAGATCTCCGGATATCAAGATCCGGATTCATATCCGACCTACAATTTTCGGCTATCCGGCCTTTTTCAGATCCAGATATCAGAACCCGACAACCCTACACAATAGTGCACCCTCTTTTGGCAGAAAATCATGCCTTAATAGGGGTAGTAGACCAAATATCCTGATCCGAAAAAGTCAAGTTCTTTGAAAATGACCCCTCTAGGGGGTTGGTTTATTTTTTAACCTTCCTCTAGAGGGTCGTTTTATTAGAAGGGGCTATTGTACTTCCCGAAATATTGCACTTCCTGAAATTCCTTCAGCTCCTGGATACCATTTTTTAAGGAGTACCCTATAATTATGTCCCTCTGTAGATATTATTTTTTTTAATTATGGCGGCGCAAATGTCGCGGCGCATAAGTCGCCCGGCGCAAAAGTCGCGGCGCACAAGTCGCTCGGCGCATAAGTCGCGGCGCAAAAGTCTCGGCCTTCTGAAAATTTAAAAATTTTCGCTAGGGATGCTATGAAAATTTTAATTATAACGCACCATCCACAACAAGCATTATCTTTATTTCTGATTCCAAATTTTTTATAATCTATTTAATTATCTATTTCAATATTCTATAAATCTATTTTAGTCATTTGGGTGTGTTTTGTTTGTCGAACCCAAAATTTCCTATCTAAATATATTTACTTCCTCTAAAAATTAATTAGTAAGTAAATATGTAAAATTAAATTTATTTTTTTTTCAAGTCTTTAACTAAAAGTTCATTTAATTAAGAAGAAAAAAATAACTAAAATTAAAAAAATTTTAAACTAAAACGAGTCTTTTCTTTTTGTTTTTATAAATTAATTAGTAAGACAAATTAAAATTGATCTAAATTAAGGAAATAAAATTTTTAAAAAAATAAATAAAAAATAAATTCTCTCAAAAATTTTAAATATATAAAAGGACAGAAAATTAAAGATAGAAAACAATTGAATAATTCAAAATAAAATTTAAAAATAATTGTCTAACAAAAATGAAATTCCTTTCACAATTTGTTCTTTTTCTCGCCTTTCTTTTAATTTTATCGACATTTATTACGGCCGAAATGAACGTTGAATTTCAACAAGGAGGAAATGGGGGAAGATGTAAGATTTAATTTTAATTATTTTTTAAATTTGAAGTTTAAGAGGAATTTAAGGAAACGAATTTTAAGAGTATAAGTTAAAAATAAAAAAATAAATAAAAGAATTTCGATTGGGATCTAGCCATATCAGGACGGAAATATATCCGGGAAAAATATATATGTATAAATAATCCCATATTTATTTTTAAATCCGGCGTGATATTTTAATTTATTACAAACAATTACCATGTTAAGTTTAAGGCCTATGGCTATTGGGTTTGGATAGTACATTGCCCTATTGAAGTTAAGAATGTTTAGGTCTAACGTAAATACATGATGTTATTTCCGTCCTGCCGATATTTCCGTCCCTATACATATGTCTCCCTACCTTTCAATTAACATTTCCTGTCCAAAAAGTGATTAGTCAAGCTCCCATATTTATCTCTAAATTTATTTTTTTTTACTTTTTAGTTCGCCGTTGGGGACATTGGGGTCATCATGGAGGATGGGGACATCACGGAGGGTGGGGGCATCATTGGGGAAGACGTTAAAAATCAACATTTGAATGGATTTTGATTAATTTTGATATAAAATGAGCTTAAAAATATAAAAAAAAGATTTTTATATATTTGCTGTGAAAATAAATTTTTATAAAAAGTTGATATTAAAAATTCTACGGTTTGGTCATTTTTTATTTTCGAGAAAAAGCAAAATTATTATACAGAGCGACCAGAAAGTTAATGCACACTTTCCATTCCATCATAACTTTTTTCATAATTTACATTATTAAATATTTTTATACTCATTTTGTAGCCCAAACAATTCTCTTTCAGGGCTTATAAGCCTTATTCCATTATTTAATCTTATTCCAAAAAATTCATCGTTCGCAAAATTTCAACTCCTACCCAGTGATGACAAAGTTCCAAAATTTCTCTGGAACTAGTTCCAGTTCCAGAACTAGGTTTTTAATTTTAGTAGTTTTTTTTAATTTTAGTATTTTTTACTAGTTCCAGAACTTGCTCCAAAGCTAGTTCCAGGCATTTACTAGTTCCGTAGTTCTAGTTCCAAACTAATTCCTGATAATCGTTAGTTCCGTACTTCTAGTTCCGGAACTAGAACTAATTAGTTCTGAACTGGAACTTTGACATCACTGCTCCTTCCAATGTTCAAAAACGCACTGTCCAAAAAACTTTAAAAAATTTTGGTGTTAAATTTTCTGGGGAATCTTCCCAAAACTTGTTTAAAAAATAGTTTGGAATGTTAACTTCATAAAAAGTGGCAGAACTCGGTCAGTAATCATACCGAGAAGTAATTTTTTCGGTACGGCAAAACAAAATATTTCAGATAAGTTTTACCTTTAATTAATAAAATAATTAAAAACGTGAGAAATTTATTATAAAATCTTTATTTTCTTGTTTACATTTAATTTCAATTTATACTTTAAAAATTTTTTTGCATGGGAAAATTTTTTTGGCTTGTGCATGTAACTATGTAGATTTATAAAAAAATTTAATAACTCTATAGACTTTCTCAATAATATTTATCTAAATAAATTGTTTAAATTAAATTTTATTTTAAATTATTGGAAGGTAAAAAATTTATTTGTTAAGTTTTTAATAAAATTTATGTTGAGTTGATAATTTAAATTTCGCTTAGAATTTTTATAAAAAAACCAAGAAATGTTATCTTATGCTACGCTTACATAAAAATCGCGCGCGACACGCGACAGAAAAGATAATGGAAAAAGAGGAGAGAAAAGTCGCCGGCGATTTTGTCGCTTTTTTTGCGTGCTTACATAAAAAGCGACTTCCGCCGGCGACTTGTCGCGCGCGACTTTGTCGCTTTTTTGAGTGCTTACATAAACCGCGACTTCCGCCGGCGACATGTCGCGCGCGATTTTGTCGCTTTTTCGTGTGCTTACATAAAATGCGATTTCCGCCGGCGACATGTCGCCGGCGACACTTTTTTTGATTCAAACATGTTTGAATTTTTGGCGACACTTTTTTGCGACATGCTATTTCTCGATCAATTCTGATCCGATTTTCAAAATTTAAAAAGATTCTGAAAGTTCAGTTTATTCTCTATCGATCAATATAAATTTTATATTTTTAAAGTTAAATCTTATGGGTCAAAATTGATTTTGAAAAAGGTATACTTTTTGAAAAAAATATTCTTTTTTTTTTCGATATTTTTGAGATTTTCAGTATGCTATCGAGTATTTTTATCATAACTTTTTATCAATCGGTCAAAAATTCTGAATTTTTTATATGTTGTAAAGCTTTTGATTCTCTATCAAATGATACCAAAAACATGAAAAAGTGACCATTTCTTGATGAGCAGGGCTCGTCCCATAAAGTTATGGACAAAAAATTTTGGGGAAAATCAAGGCATTTAAGGGATTAAGAGAGTCCATATCCGCGGACCATATCTGTCCATAGCCCGGATACCTTCGATCTCCTGATATTATCCGTATCGATGACCATGCCTGGTTTAAACCATTAAAAAAATAAATTTGCAAATTTAAAATCAAAATCAAAGTTTAAAGATATTTATTTTTGAAAAGAAAATTTTCTCAGTCCCACTTCTTACATGGATTCGAACCCCATCCCTATCAAGATAACTAGATGAGTGAAGTCAGTCAACATAACCACTCAACCATCGACCAATTAAAGAAAATAGTGGAAATTATAAATATTCCTTTTCCTTCAAAAATTTAATATCAAAGTACGGTTTCCCGGTGACCGGGTCCGGGAAACCATGAAAACCCGTTCAAAAAAACGGGAAAAGGGACCCGGAAACAGGTCCGGACCCGTTCTTAACTCTAATATCAATGGAAAAATTAAAAAAAACCCACAATATAAAAGCCACAATAAAATAGTGGCAACGAACTGTCCTATACATTACAGTACTCTGACTTTCGCCAACGTGAAAAATAGAGATAAATAAATAAAGAAAATATAGAAGAAAAAGATAGAAAAATCTAATAATTTTGTGCTTACATAAAAATCGCGCGCGATTTGCGACGTCGCTAGGCGACATGTCGCCTAGCGACGTCGCTGCTTTGTGCTTACATAAAAATAGCGTTTTGTCGCTTTGCGACAGTCGCTTTTGCGGAAATCGCCGATTTTATGTAAGCACACAACTAGCGATTGTCGCCGGCGACATGTCGCCTAGCGACTGTCGCGTGTCGCGCGCGATTTTTATGTAAGCGTAGCATTATGACTTCTAATTTCCGTTTTCTTCCTTCATTTTTAAAGAAAATTTTATGCCCTAAAATTAAGCAGTTTTCTGACTGAGTAAATTAAATTTGATTCTGTCTTGTTATGGATTTAGGATTAGGGGTTTTTTCTAAAAAACAAGAAAGTGTATAAAGGAAATAAATCTATTATTGGAATTATTTGCCTCTATTGTATTTAAATTGGTGTTTAATTAAATTTATTAAAAGAACTTGGCCTTATTTTTAGATAATTTCATTTTTATTATTTGCGTGGGTATAATTTCGGAAAACGAACAGATCCGAAATAGGTCAAATTATATGTCATTCGAAAGAGCTCGTCGAGTTATGTCGAATGGTGAAAAAATTTTTGTGCGGACTCATAGAGGGGCTGAGATATAGGTCCGCGAAAATCGAAAAACCATAGGGGGGACCAAGCACTTTTTTGGGGTGAAAAATTCGAAAATGCAAATAATAGCTCATTCGAAAGAGCTCGTCGAGCTGAGTCGAATGACACCAAAATCAACGAAATCTGACTTGATTTGACAAAGTTATGATCGTTTGTTTTAGCTCCTTACCTTTGGTATACGTCGAGGTTTTTCCTGCTACGGAGGAAGCCAGATAACCCATTACAGCGATAATTGGAATAGGATTAAGTTACGAGCCCAGACCCATCGCCCGTAGACTCCCCGCGAGGCGCGTGCCGCAAAACCCCGCGCGAAGCGCGGGGTTTTGCACAAGCGCCTCGCCTACGCCCCATAGGTTTACGTTGACAATTTTGAGCCTCTATCTCGGCTCAAAATTAAGATCTCGAGTTGATTTTGGTGTCATTCGACTCAGCTCGACGAGCTCTTTCGAATGAGCTATTATTTGCATTTTCGAAATTTTCACCCCAAAAAAGTGCTTGGTCCCCCCTATGGTTTTTCGATTTTCGCGGACCTATATCTCAGCCCCTCTATGAGTCCGCACGAAAATTTTTTCACCATTCGACTCAGCTCGACGAGCTCTTTCGAATGACATATAATTCGACCCATTTCGGATCTGTTCGTTTTCCGAAATTTTTCCTTTGCGTGCGGCTACAAATAATTTTAAAATTTTGTTAATAAAATTTATGTTTAGTGTTAATACAAATGTCGCCTAAAATTTTTATAAATTTCAAACAAAATTCGACTAATTCTAAAAATTTAATCTTAATAATTGTAAATTCCGTATACCTACATATATTTTTATAGAAATTTTATGCCCAAAAATTAAGCAGTTTTTGGAGTAACTAAAATCTGATTCTGTCTTGTTCTGGATTTAGGATTAGTGGTTCGTTTCTAAGAAACAAGAAAGTGTATAAAGGAAATAAAATCAAGGACAGACCTTTCTAACATACTAGAAAACATGAAAACGTTTTTAATAACAAAGTTTACTTAATCGCCACAAATTTCAGTATTACCATACCCGACAGATTTTGATATCACTCGACTTTTCTTGATTATAGTTATCGAAATAACTTTATAAAAATTTTATTTTCACCTTTACAAGTTTATGAAAAATTTTTTAGCAAAATAAAAAATGGAAATAACTCCAACAATTTATTTTGTTAGTTTTATTGAAATAATACCAATAACAATTTTAATTCCTTCTTCTCTTTTAAATTTATTTTTATTGTGGAAAAGTTGTGTTTTAAATAATAATTCTAAAATTATTCTTATTTCACAAAGTATGGCCATTTTTATTTATTCAATAACTCGGTTAATATTGTAAGTTAATTTTTGAATGAACTAATACGGGCAGATTTAATTATATAAGATACACCCAATATTATTTACAATAGATCTCTAAAATTCAAATTTTTAATCAAAAATTATCTGGACTTATTTTTTCTTGCCTCTTAAATATTTAGTTTAAAAATTTGGGTAATAGTTTGGAATTCGCCCTCCTTTTTTTCCTTTCTATTTTTTCCTAGTTTTTTTCTCATTTTATGGCAAATTATATATAATTCAAAAGAGCTCTTCGAGCTGGGTCGAATGACATTAAAATTAACAAAAACTGACTTACGTGAACAAAGTTATGACCGCTTATTCTATCCCCTTGGTTTGTCACAAAAAGTCTTCCCAATAGGGATTTAGCTTCATAATTTTGGTAAAAATGATTAGATCTAGCCAATTATTGTAGCATTCGACCAATCTCGAAGAGCTTTTTCGAATGATATATGATTAATTATGTATCAAACAAAAAAAGCTCAAAATGGTCATGAAACGGTGAAAAAAAGGGGGCGAATTCCAAGCTATTACCAAAAATTTTTTAACAATTTAAGAATAGAATTTAATATCATTTTTAATTTTAGAA